GTTTCCTGCATGTCTTGTACCTTTTTTTGCCCTTTCTTTCCTCTCTTACTGCCTTCTTTTGTTTTTCATTGATTTTGCAGTGGAATCCTTGGATTTCTTTTTCATTTGTTTTGTCTGTATTTATAGATCTTTTCTTTGTGGTTACCATTGCAAAAATACCTTAAAGTTATAACAATCTATTTTATTTTATTTTTTTAATGTTTATTTATTTTTGAGAGAGAGACAGAGAGACAGAGACAGAGACAGAGAGGAGAGAGAGAGTGAGATGAGGAGGAGCAGAAAGAAGGAGACACACAGAATCTGAAACAGGCTCCAGGCTCTGAGCTGTCAGCAGAGCCCAACACAGGGCTCGAACTCATGAACTGCGAGATCATGACCTGAACTGAAGTCAGATGCTTAACCGATTGAGTCACCCAGGCACCCCTACAACAATCTATTTTAAACCGATGGCAACTTAACTTCAATTGCATACAGAAATGCCACCACTTACATCTCCACCACCCCAACTTTGTTACTGATATCACAAATTACATGTTTATATATTGTATACTCAATATAGATTTATAGCTTTTTGTTTTTCTCACTTAAATTCTGTACAAGAATTAAGAGTGAACTTATGCACCAAAATTACAATAATACAGATTACTGTGTTTGTACATGTATTTTCCTTTTACTGGAGAACTTTATAGTTTTGTATAGCTTCATTTTGCTGTCCAGTATCCTTTCTTTTTTTAAAAAAATTTTTTAATGTTTATTTTTGAGAGACAGAGAGACAGAATGAGTGGGGGAAAGGCAGAGAGAGAGAAGGAGAGACAGAATGTGAAGCAGGCTCCAGGCTCTGAGCTGTCAGCACAGAGCCCGACGTGGGGCTCAGACTCATGAACCATGAGATCATGACTGGAGCCAAAGTCGGACGCTCAACCGACTGATCCACCCAGGCACCCCTGCTGTCCATTATCTTTTTACTTAAACTTGACGGGTTCTCTTTAGCATTCTTATAGGGAAGCTCTAGAGGTAATGAACACTTTCTACATTTGTTTAATTGGGGAAGTCTTAATATCGCTTTCATTTTTGAGGGACAGTTTTGTTAGATATAGTATTCTTGGTTGACAGATTTGTTCTTTCAGCAATCAGAATATATCATTCCATTGCCTTCTGGGCTGCATGGATTCATCCAAGAAATTCACTAATGATCTTACAGAAGCTCCTTTTTATGTAATGAGCTGCTTTTCTCTTGATGCTTTCAAGTTACTCCCTTTGTCTTTGACTTTCAATTGTTTGATTATAATGTTTCTCCTTGTGGGTATTTTTGGATTTATCCTGGTTGGAGTTATTTGAATTTATATGTCAATTTATTTCTTCAGATTCGGAAAGTTTTGGGGCCATTTTTCCCCCCAAATAAATTGTCTGCTTCTTTCTCTCTCTCGGGATTCCTATAATGTGTATATTGGTCTGTTTGATGGTAACATAAATGTTTTAGGTTGTCTTCACTTTCTTAACTCTTTTGTCTTCTGTGACTCAGTGATTTCAAGTGAATTGTGTTAAGGTTCTCTGGTTCTTTCTCCTACCTCGTCAAGTCTGCTGTTTAACCCCTCTGGTAAATATTCAATTCACTATTGTATTTTTCAGGTCCAGAATTTGTTAGGTTCTTTATTACAGTTTTTGTTGTTGTTGTTGTTGATATTCTCATTTTGTTCATATGTTGTTTTCTTTTTTTCATATGTTGTTTTCTTGATTTCATTTCATTGGTTATCCATGTTCTCTTTTAGTATATTGAGTAGCTTTAACATAGTTGTTTTGAGTTTTTTGGCAGGAAGTCCAGCCATCTGAGTTTCTTAAGGGGGTTGGCTTCTGGAGTTTTATGTTTTTCATTTCATTAGGCCATGTTTTCCTGGTTCTTTGTGTGTTTTTTTTGCTCTTTTTTTGGGATTTGGGCATTTGAAAAAACCATGTTTGCATCCTCCCCCAAATTCATATGTTGAAATTCTACTCCCCAAATGTGATGGTATTAGTAGGTGGAGCTTTCAGGAGGTGCTTAGGTCATGAGAGTGGATGCTTAATGAATGAGATTAGTACCTTATAAAAGAGACCCCACAGAGGTCCCTAGCCCCTTTTACCATGTTAAGCCACAATGAACCTCACCTGACCATGCTAGTGCCATAATCTTGGATTTCCAGCCTCCAGAACTGTAGGGAACAAATTTCTATTATTTATAAGCTACCCAGTCTAGTATTTTGTTATAGCAGCCTGAATGGACTAAGATAACCACCGTTTTATGGACTGGCTTACTTCCTCAGTCAGCCTGGCAAGAAGTTCTGGGACCTTTCAAATGTTTTCTGGGGATGTAACTTCTCTGGGCTTGTGTATGGTTTTTTAGCTGCCTCAAATTCTCTAAGCAGCTTGCCTTTTCTTCTCGAGAGATCACAGTCTCTTATTCTCCCTGGTGTCTTCTTGTGGAGCTGCATAACGTGTGTAGCTCTAATAAGCCATTTTGATGGTCTCTGTTTTCAGCACTTCTAACCTGCACTGCTGTTCCTTTTAGTGCACTTAATCAGATGAGACAGAAACCATCCCCTCAGGCAGCCCCCAGACAATCCAGAGTGTTTGATGTATGATCTGTTCTGTTTCCATCCTGAGGGTGAAGCATGTATGGGAGGTTTCCTCCTTAACTGTGCCCTATACCAGGTTGGGGGTGGGGTATGAGTGTACAAAACATAGCAAACTTTACTAGAGCTTTCACTGGAATCCCTTCCTGGTTTTCCATTGGTCTGGGGGCTGCTGCTTCTCAGCTGATTTCTAACATTCTTACAAAGGTATTCTGGTCCATAGATGGTTGTTGTTTGGTTGTCTCCATGGGAGAGGAAGGCTTGGGGACTTCCTAATCTGCTCATCTTGCTGATGTCACTACTTTAAATGATTAAAAACAATTTCTTTTCACCAAAATTTTTTTTCTGGGAGTAGAGGCACAGAGCTCCTCACACTGTCATACCACTCACATAGGACTATTTCTGTTTTAAACCCTGAAGTTTGTGACAATTAGTTATAACAACTACAGCAAACTTATACTCAGCTCAGTATTTCAAAACTGTATGTATATATGCTTTTTATTTATTATGTAGAAATGGTATAAATTAATACATTTCTGACTCTTTGGCTTTTAACAGGGAGATTGAACTCATTCACAGTATTTTTTCGGTAAATTATCTTTATGCACATCCACACCCCCACTCTAACTTGAGTCTTCTTATTAGGAAGAAGATAAAGTCATAAACCCAAGGATTATGGGAGTAAGAGATCAGAGTTCTGTTAACTGTTGTGACTTTAGGCAAGCCCAGTCTCTGGGTCTCAACTTCTTAATATGTTACATGAAGGGTTTGGACCTTGGTGGGGACACATGTCGTCTGTTGGACATTCATTTCATTGGGTTGATGGATTCCCTACCTAGCACCTTCTTTCCTTTGTAATAATGGGTAAGTGGAAGGCACAGGAAAGGCAATTTCAAATGATTCTCTGGGATTCATTTGTGGAAGCTGGGAAGAAGTAGCTCTCTTCCCATCCTGGCCGCTGAGATGACGTAATGAATGTCAACATTTATCCCTTATCCCTTCCGTTATACAGATACTTATCCCTTATCCCTTCCATTATACAGATAAGGCCTGTGTGCATCAGGAGAGACAAAGCCAGGCAGAGATGAATAGAGATGAGAGAATTTAAAAGAAGATTCTTGGTGGCCCTGAGTCCTTAGTCCTAAAGCTCTGCCTTGGATGCCGGGAGGAACCTAGAATCCTTCTCAGCTACTGGATCACTTTAAACCAATATTTTGGGTTCTTATTTCTTGTAAGGAAAGGCTCTTCACTAATAGGTAAAGTGAAGAGAGAGAGCCCAAACCAACCTCACCTCTTTCTCCTACTCTCTGTACCCCTGATTCCTCTGGAGCCCCAGTTTTCACATGAGTACAAAAAGGACAATCCCTCTTGTACTCAAGTTGCTATGTAGGTGAAGACAGTAGTATGGGAAAGGTAGATCCTTGATATATAGTAGATGCCCCCAAAATAGTAGTATTGTAGTATCACCAATATAATCATTTCTCAGGCTGGGTATTACTCAGAGTTCACAAAATTATCTATTATTATTATTATTATTATTTATATATAATATATATAAAATGTAAATATATATAATTATATAATTTATATAATAATTATATAATAATAATTATTATTATCTATTATTATTATTATTATTATTATTATCTATTATCACAAAATAGAAAAATAAAATTAAAAAGTAAGGCTTTAGGAACAGAAAAAAACCATGATTTGAAATCGTACTTTAGTGCTCCGTGGACGTGGGAACTTTATCACCTGGCATCCCTTAGGATAGTGCTAACTTTCAGGAAACTGGCTTAACAAGGAGATGTTTTCTCTCCCATAACTGGAGGTCCAGAAGTGGGGTTGGAACCAGGAACAATATGGTGGTGCAATGTCGTCAACCCACATTCTTTATATCTTTGCACTTCTCTAGAGCAGATTTTTCCTCAACTTGGTTCCCCTCATGGTCATAAGATGTCTCTCAGGAGCACCTGGGGCAATATGACTGCTTGTTCCTAGCCAACAAGAAAGAGAATTGCATTAGTTTCCCAGATTTCTCTGCAAGCCTATTCTTTTCTCTTAGGGACACAAATTGGCTTAAGACAGTCTCATATTTGAGTTAATCACTGGTAGGGAGTCATGAAATTACCCTTAACTGGTTTAGTCTAGGCTATTGGGGGTGGGTTGAATATTGGGATGTCAACCAAAATGTCCTTCATCACTCAATTGGCCTTTCTGAATCCGTTTCTTCTCCTGTAAAACACTTAATTCGCAAGTTGCCGAGAGAATGACAGAAGAATGTATATTGCACCTTCAATAATATTTAGCATAATCTAGTTGTTCGATGAGTAGAGGACTTGGTTAACTGAGATAGCAGCCCATAACAGGGGAAGGAAGAGACAAACTTACTAGTCACAAACACCTCAGTGCCTGGACCTGACTGGAACTCCAGGTCAGGTTGCCCCTCCTTGAACTTCACGCAGTAGTAGGTGCCGGCGTCTGCAAGAGAGATTTCACTGATGTGGATGGAAAAGTCTGTGTTGCCAGCTTTGGTGGTGCGTCCAATTTCTTTTACTCTGGGAAAGATGCCTCCTTTGAAATTGTAGATTAATTCCC